TACCAGTCCGATTGACTCTTCGAGTTCAATGTCCTAATAGAGTGATGACGAGGGAAGGAATGAATGCAACTGCGAACATTTTGGTGCGCTACGTTCTTTAGACTTGCCTGAACCTCAATACATGGGGGGGAGTGTTGCTTTAGCAGAGGTTGGCCTGCACTACAAGCGATTTCCTTTCACGAGTTAAACCGGTTCCACCTCTGGGCTTCATCTCTCACGCTCGGTGACGGAGTAGAGCAAAGTTAGTGCCATGCGGGTACAAAAACTCTCATCAAGCCTGATAAACCCGCCATTCATTACCCATGGGAGATGGTGTCAAATGTGCGGTTAGGGGTCTATTTTGCCAAGACCACATGGTACTCCGTCTGTGCTGCAAAAAACTTGAACGTTCACTAACAGCCCGTTTTGCAGGGAGGTCACCGAAAATTCCGATCGGCCTGCTTTCCAGTCCGACCCTTGACACACAAATGGTCCAGATATCAGGCTTATCTGAATTTTCAAAAATAAGCCCCCTATCCAGGCTGTCCATTTGCATGGCCGACCCATATTCTTGCCTGTTCCTTACGACAAGTAGCAGTTTCCGTAGTTTTGTAAAGACTCTGTGTATCTACTAACCTGCCGACCTGACAAACCCCATCTGCTGCTAGCCTGCCAACCTCATATTCTCCTCTGGTAATATCTGCTAACCTGTCGACGTGACAAGCCCCATCTGCTGCTAGCCCACCAACCTCACATTCTCCTCTGGTAACCTGCCAACCTGCCACCTCCCTCTGCCCAAACTGCAAAACAGCCCGCCCTCTTCGCATACCTTAATTGTGGGTGTGCCAAACTATATCCCTGGAGCGCTCACCATGACATGTATGCATGCAAAACACACACGAAGTATGCTCTCGCACATACCCAAACACGCACATACACATGCATACAAAACCCCCACCCCCCCTCACCGTGACATGTATGCATGCAAAATACACATTAAGTATCCTCTCACACATACCTCACAGTGTAGGACTCAGCAGTACATTATCGAACTCTAATGGCCAGGTGTTACAGTTGTCCTTGAAGAGGCCATAACTGCCAATCAGCACCAAAACAATCCTAATGCACTTGGTGTATAAATGAGATTGACTGCAATCCCCCTCTCTCTCTCTCTCTCTCTCTCTCTATGCACAACTTCACAAAAAAAGCATGGTTGGGCCAGACTGTTTCATTGGACATTCAAGGACTCGTCAGGAGGTTGAACCCCAACAGTCTGTCCAGGATGCATTTGACTGACAGATAAGGACTCACCACATCACCCAGAATACGCAATACCCCTGCGCCCTGCTATTCTGGCGGCCACTTTCTCTAGACCGCTGACAACAGGTCTAAAAAACTGCCTTCTCCCCCCGAATACGACGTACAGTCATTATAGCTGTATTTAGATTGAAAGATACCCCAATACGCTATAATGACCATCCAATACGCCTATAATGACCATACGTTGTACTCGGAGGAAGAAGGTAGTCTGTCACAGCCATGGAACCCACTGTGTATTGTAGATTTCCACCGTTCCCCACAGATGAGTAGATCCAAAATCAAAGCAGCTTCGAATCCCGCCGCGCGAGAGCGTGCATGGGCCAAGCAGTGTAAAAACTCAAGATTGCACTGTGCAACGCTAATTTTTTCCACGCCACACTGCAAAACCAAATTGCACCAGGCAGCTCTCATAAATTCAGCTGTGGGCCAGTGTCATGTCGCACTCGCATCACGTGTGTCCCGGTTGACCTTGGCTGAACGAAGTTTTTGCAAGGAGGCCATATGGCCGAACCAATTCACAGGAAATCACCAATGGGATTATGGGACTCCAAACGGGACTGCCATGCAATCTGCACATAACAAACCTATCAGCAGATTCAGGACTACGCATCAAATCACTTTCAGGAGTTCCGTGCTCCGGAGAGAGCACTTTTTTGAAGTAACGATGTGCCACAGCCTTGGTGTCATGATCAGAAACACACTACGTTTCCACAAACAGATTGAAAAGTAGGTCCCGCTACCTAATCGAGGCGGAATAATTCGACTTGACATGTTTGACATCTCGTTTGATGAAAAATGAAAAATGCTGTCAAGTCCAAAAACTTTTGATCTCAAAATTTGTGACCAAAAGGCGCCACTTATAAACTGAGCTTCGCCCTTCACTAACCATTTTGTGTTTTCCCAGCTTCCTACTTAGCGCAATGCTTGAACCTAGTCCACATTTCACCCAGAGGTGGAACAAATGCATCCTCAGAACTTTTTTTTTTTTTTTTTTTTTTTTTAAGCTTTTAGGGACGCAGGTTTCGGAAACACCAACCAGGTTCATGTCACAACACCTGCATCCTCTCTATCGGTTATTCATGATAAATGGCTTGCCTGGTTAGCAGAGGCCCGCCCTGCCGAGAAACACATTGCACAGACCCCCGAAAAAGAGCCACAATTGGGCATGCAAAGTTGCAAAACCGTTCTCCTACCCGCAAAATTGTCCGCCATCAGCGTCTACCACTGTGCCATTTCCACAAGTCTACACTAACATTTTGCACACACAACTCCTGATCACAGGCGATCACTGTGTGCTAATGCTTACAGGCAGCTCACCAACCTTGATACAGTTTAAGAAAAACTCGCCTGCCTTGATGGCAGAGGGCCGCCCAACTAAGAAACGCCTTGCACAGAACCCTGAAAGAGAACCGCAGTTGGGCACACAATGTTACGCAAAGGCCGTCCATCCTATGTGCAAAACCATCCTCCTATCCGAGAAATTGTCCTCTATCAGCATATCAACCACTGTGCCATATCTACAACTCTATGCTAACATTCCATATCCACAACTCTATGCTAACATTCCATATTCACAACTCTATGCTAACATTCCATATCCACAACTCTATGCTAACATTTTGCACACCATCACAAGTGCACAACTCCTGCTGATTCGGAACGCTCTCCAGCCGATCACTGTGTACTAAGGCTTACAGGCAGCTCACAAACCTTAACACAGGGTAAAAACAGTCGAGCAGCACAGGGGGGAGGAAGGAATGAGAGAGAGAGAGAGAGAGACAGACAGAGTAGGGGGAGGAGGGAGGTGGGGACGGGGCTGTGAAAAAGGAATTTAAAATCGTTTCTCGTCATCTCAGCTTCCACGTCCTGGTTAGCTCGAGCAAATTGTGCTACCCACGATGACTCCTGTGTGTTCCGTTCCTCGTCCCAGTTTCTTTTCTCGTCTCAGAGTGTTCCAACACACTAACCTACAACACACCACATAGCAAACACCCAAGCATTCCGCTGCAATGCCCCACCCACGCCCACCATAACAGCAGAGCTACACCTGCACAGAACACAATCACATGAATCTGGGCAGAGAATTCAACGAGCCTAGCCGAGTAGGTACACCCATGACCTGTTGAAATACCTGATTCAAGGAGTCCATATTCCACAGGCCGGTCTACGTATGTGCTGAAGGAGAAAAAGAAAGAAAAAAAAAACTTTTCCTTCCCTCCAGTGCCTCCACATCCCACATCTACTCCGAAGGGTCAGAGGGCAAGTATCCACACTACCGTCTTCACCCCATCATTATAGATGTATTTGGGGCATTTTTCAGTCCAGGTGCGGTGATAATCACCGGGTGTTCTATTCGGGTGAAGACGGTAGGAGCCCGAGCTCTGACGACCATATGACAGCAGTGCAGAGGAAAACACAAACACATGTATATCTGGTAGCCGTAGCTCTCACATGATCGACTCACTAAGGAATCTGACCAACTTCCAGACCCATAAAAGGAATAATAGGCATCACACAGGAAAGACGGACATGTGTTTGTGCATAAAGAAGACGGACCATGATATGGAAAAAAAGCGCATAAAGAAGAGCTCCGAGCAGAAAACGAACAAGCAACTGCAGGTGGAAAGACAGACAGGAGACCCACGGGAAACCCATAGGAATAACATTACCACCATCGGGATGCCCCAAGATCATCGCAATCAATGTAGTAGCCATGGAGCACTTTCAAACACGTGCTTGTGCAATCTGCAGATTTTTTTTGAGACAGGAGAGGATCTCTGAGAGTCCTGTTACTGGCAATAGACCAGTGTCATAACCTCCACCTGCAAGGCTGCAACTGACAAACATGGCAGTAGACGCCCTTAGCGCATTCAAATGCAAATTTTGGAAACGGCTAGGGGTGTAAATCACATGGGACCTAGGCTACCAGAGTGGCCCGGGACCACTTGCCCGGCCCCTAACTGATTACACTGTAAGTGATAATCCACCTTAACCCCAGCTGTGGTTAAGCGTCAACGACTGCCCGACAACTGATACCCTGAGGTGGGCACCAACCACTGCCCTCAAGGTACCTGTGACAAAGATCAAAGCAGACTATCACTCACCCACACCAGATGGAAAATATATATATTTCAGCCTCCTGATGAGTCTGTTGGTGAAACTCCGACGAAACAGTTTTTCACAGCCCCTTGTTTGTTGTCCTCTTCTCCCTCTCTGCCTACGGTTTACTGCGCAGCTCTGATTTTATTTCAAATTTGGTAAAGAATTCCAATGTGACCCTGAGGCAAAATTTGTTCAGTTTATTTTTCTGAATAACATAGTTTCTTTCAGGGTTTTTTTTTTTTTTTTTTTTGCCGGGACCTTCCTTGGTCCTTGCACGTCCGGGCCGCCCGGGAAAACAATGTGACCCGGGCGGTCCGGCTGGTAGCCTGGCATGGGAACGAGTCACATCATTCACATCGATAAGTACCTATGTACATGGCTGCATTCTTGCAGATGCTGGATACATCTTGCGTCTCCTTGAACCGGCTTGGCTGGAGCAGAGCAGTACGTGCAGAACACTCCCGTCCTTGACCTGCTTAAGGAGATTCACCTTGGCACACATCAAAGACGCAACGACGAGAAAGAACATACATACAATTTCACACGCAAACAGAAACAGGGATGCTTCTACAACACACCCGAACTCCACGGCCCCATGTTCTGCTCACGCTCTCCGTGGTTGTTGACACACCTGCACTGAATGGTCAACAGGACCGGCAAAGTTCAGTCACTGCCCATCAATCGACTAACTTCCGGTCGTCATCATCTGTTTCCATTGATAGCTCAACCAATCACAGTTGTAAGAGTGGAAAACCTACCAGCGAAGAGGCAAAGCAGGAACATCGGAGGATCACATGCCGCAGCATCCATCCTTGTCACCACAAATCCTGCATTGATAACAACAGACGGCTGGTTCCTGCGACCGGCGGACATGCTGCATGCATGAGGTACATGGGCCCACTGGTGCTGCATTGGTCTGCACTATGCCAGCATTAACATAGGTGTGCCCCAGCTCTACGCCATGACATGGTTCAGAAAGAGCAATTGGACAACAAAGCAGACGTAACAGAGCCTTACCCAACCACGATCAGCATGCACGCTTTTTTCTTCGGTCATCTTTCTTCCATATCTTTAGATGCCCCTAACCAAAACGGATCGGCATGCAGTTACTCCTCGCATGCTCGCATACATGAAGATACCTCCTAATCATAAAGCGGGTTCGGATCGTCGTATGAATTCACACAAATTTGCAACACTTGGTGACTTGAGAAAAGTTAAGACACTCTGTTGGCAGTTGCTCTGATGAAGAACCCACACTCATCTTCTCTAGCACAGAACCTACTGCCTGAAACACACAGGTGAGAAAGGGATGGGAACATACACTCATCTTGTCTACCACAGAACCTACTGCCTGAAACACACAGGTGAAAGGGATGGGAACGTTACAATCACCTCAATGCTCGATGGCCAAAAGATCTGGTCAGTCTCAACAAGCAAACTCTCTGCTTCTTGCAAAGTGCTTTCAGCATTCCCAGGACAAGGAGGCGTTCGATTACACAATCAACTGATTACACAATCAATTCTAAAGGACTCGGCCATACCAAGACCTCCATGCTCGAGCCTAGGGCCATCACTGCCTGAAGAATCATTCAATTTACATCTGTTTCTCACTACAAGCACACCACCCTACATGCATGCGTAACTTGGCCAAGGAATGATCTACCGACGCAGCGGGGGACCACTGAGTCACCAAAGAAGTCACCTCCGCCGATGAGTTTCCGTTTGATTGCACTTCTGCCCTGCATGCTGCCATCATGATGACAACCAAAGTCGAGCACATATGACGAATTCTGGAGGGGAGGACCCTGGGCGGTGGGTGGGTGTGTGTGTGTGTGGGGGGGGGGGGGGGGAGGGGAGTACTACCCTGCACCATTTCCACCGCTATCATGCACCGTCTTCACCCCTTACCAAGCACCAAAATGCCCAGACATCGTTCCCAGTCACCATTCTCAATGATCTGTAGGCTTACGTCTCTGCAGAACTGACTGCAAGATTCTTCGGACCGATGCCAGAGCATCACCCTGCGCACACACACACAGCCCATTGACATAAACAACCAACAAGTCAGGTACTACGTACATGTCACAAACCCGTCCCAAAAGCACATCAGCAAATTCCTTCACAAGCAGTGTCTCCTGCCCTTCCCGCTCTGCCAGACAAAGCTTGTGCTTTACAGATTCCTGGGTAAGCTGGCTTTGACATTCTGCTGAGCCATCGACACAACAGCCAGAGAAGACCCCTCAAGTAGGGCCCCAAAACCGAAGAGTAACTTTTTTTTTTTTCCCTTTTGGCTTTAAAAAAGAAGACCCCTCAACCACATGCTCTCATCAAATACATCATCACCTGACGTGAAGAGATTCCTTCACAACTAGCGCTTGCCAGAGGCAATGCTTTGCAGCCCAGGGGTTATGGCTGCAGAACATTGCGTGCAAATCCACTCAGACAGACTGTGTATCAAACTGGATAGTGGCTACCCAATTGAGATACACCGCAAACCGAGACCCATTCCCTGTGCTTTGGGACATCCGCCCTCAGTGCAAGGAAAATGAGCAGAATCACACTGAACCCCAGATAGCCGTACGCTGTCCGGAAAGCAGAAATGCACTGAAATCACACTGAAGGAGAGCACTCTCTCACCACCACCAACAATGTACTCGAAGCTCTTCCTCCTATCGCCGCCCAGTGCCCAGACTACTATCATACAGATACTTTGCTAGCCTAACAAAATGACAAAGCCACGAGTTGACATCAGCAGCAGCAAACAAAGTACATGTCGACCATGTAGTCATCAGCCTGTTATCCCCGGCATACCTTAGCCAGGACCAGGTACGAGCTCTCACATCACCCCCACACTCGCCCTCAACATGCTCATCCTCGTCTTCTCCACCTACGTGCTTCCCCTACCGTAGCACCACCACCATACCCCGCCAGCTATCAAGCCCCAGGCCCGGCTATGGCTGCCTGGGCTATAGTGCTGCTTCCATGGAGCGCCCACCTTCCCCTAGCACCTGCGAACGCTCAGGCGCCCAGCGCCATCGCGCGCATGTGCCCGAATGCCTGACTCGTGGCCACGCACTTTGTTATATGCGAAGTTGCCTGGCCCGATGGCAGCCTGGGCTTGCCTTGCGTGTGCCCAGTAGCTGCAGGTTGGGCCAAAGTGTCTGCGTGCAGGCCCATTCAGACACTGGCCTGGGCCCGATTTGGTTAGGCCTGCCCAACCACCCAAGCGTAAACATGAGGTGTTCCCTGCTTCCACGGCATTGCCAGAAGAGCCTGGAAGGCTCACGAATGTTTCTGATTTTCACGAGCAGGGCGGATGTATCCAACCGGCGGTGGCAACTATCGCCCACCAAGGCTTCGCAAAATTGACAAATTCAGGCCTCATTGAGATTCGGGGGCCCGCCTTTACTTACAACGGGCACATGCTTGCTTGTAGGGGCTACATGCAGGTATGCCGAGGGCTTAAAATCCTTGCATAAGAGCAAAGATACAGAGAAATTAGCATGGCCCCTGCACAAATGTGGAGGGGGGAGGAGGGAGGAGGGGGGGGGTGGGAAGGGGATACGCTCCATCCATGCACAATGCTGAATGCCAATGCGTTCACATTGACAGCAGAGTAAGGACCCGGATGGTGGATACCTTATTCCCATAACCGTCTCCAAATAATGACAAAAACATCACCATCATCAACATTACCACAATTTCTGAAGGGGGAAAAGACCACTGATGAATTGGCAGCCCACACTTCTCCAAAGGATGACAGAAACCTCTCCTTACCTAAGTTCTTTGCCAGGGCTAACCACGCCACACAGCAGGGTTAACAAGACGCACTCTGAAGTCCTATTGTGATGCTGAGCTCCTTTGCTGGTCCGATGATCAGTGTCAGAAATTAAAGGTGAAAAGGAGGCTAAGTCGTGACTGGTCGGCCAGGCTTCACAATATCATCCCTCTGTATCAGCAGAATCAACCCCCTCACATTTGTACGAGTGCCATCCTGTGCTAATAATGAACTTCTACCTAGCATGCATTCAGCATTCAGTTTTCTGAGCACGAACACCGACCATGCACCGTGACCACTGGGTTACATGCTTACTTGAACACTTGCTATGCCTTCCACAGTGTGCAAATCAGGCCACAGTGTGCAAATGTGGCCACAGTGTGCAAATCAGGACAGCAGAAGACTGCCAAGGCATAGTCGTCCTACGCGAGCAGGGTACGTAAGCCTGCTAATCCAGTACCTTTACTGTGGTGAATGGTGGTGATAGCAAATCACCATATGGTAGGGGTGCAGCACCTTTTTCTACACCCACAGGTAGAAAAAAGAGGGGTAGAACTGGAGGCTATCTTCTGCATCATACCAATGGCACTAGGAGGAGATAATAACCTGTGTTTAAGGGAGTTGCTCGGGGTCAGGTTTCACTACCTCGTACTTCATTTTGGTACCCACACCTATGCCATCGAAGGCAACGTACAGCGGACATAGTGAATCCTTCGAAAATGACTCTGCGGAGCCGAACATGAGGGCCAAGTGTGCACCTTGGAGGCTGCTCTCCAGTCGCCAACGAATCTTTGCAGTGAGCCCTTTTTTTCCACAACTTGTACCCGTTGCCCTCTCAATCGACAACCCGTCTATCGGCAATGCTCTGTCAGTCGCGTGACAAATTTCAAGCTCCTCAAGCATATGTCACCTTCGATGCCCCACGTTTGGGTGTTTTTGGGCGCTCACTACATGGAGACTCGCACGAGTCGCAGCTGCCGAGCATCTACCAGACAGAAAAGGCATGACTGCCATCAAGAAATTTCTCTTCATAGATCATACCCAGTATGACCGGCATAGATTTCGATTATTTTGAAAATAAAGTCCCCTCTTATAATGTCCGTCCCTTTGTCCAGTGCAGTGCGCCCTTGTTAAAGAATAGTCGCTATGAGGTTACACCATCAGCCTACCGAAACGAAACGGTTGGCAGGATCAGCCAAAATAAACTCAGTTTTTAGACCACACTGGTTCAGCAAAAACCAGCCCACAGCAGAAATTGGCATCAGAGTAGTGTTTTGCAGGCACTGTCTGGAAGGTTAGCCTTTGCGGGTTGAAGTTGTCCTAACAACGGTCAGAAAAATTGAAGGAGTGTTCTGTCCAATAAAAAAAAGAAGAAATTGTGAGCTGGGGTTGAGACTTCGGCAACATGTTTAGCAGTCTCTCTCTCTCTCTCTCTCTCTCTCTCTCTCTCTCTCTCTCTCTCTCTCTCTCTCTCTCTCTCAACATTGTGGGTGGGTAGTTGATCGTGTGTATGTGTGAGAGAGAGAGGGAGGTCAGGTGCAGCTGCATGTTAAAACCTCTCTCTCTCTCTCTCTCTCCTCTCTTAGGGCTGCATTCACCGAAAAACTCCTTTCGCCGAATCTCTTGAACTTTTATCACGCCTATGTCCGTCCAGTTCTTAGCACACCACACAATGCACAGCCACCCTGCCGCTGAAGAACGGCTCTAACACATTCTTCATTCCTGCTGGTTGTATGCCGCTTGCAGCACCAGTCCTTTAGACGAGTAACAACCAGCACTAGAAGAGTTGACAGCTAAAGGGAGAAGCACCTTTTTAGCCATCTCCAACTTCAGGTACTGGACGGCGGGCATAACTTCCCTCCATCGCTGGGGGTTGGATGGAGTGACTAGGGAGTGACGATCACAAAGCTTGATGTGAGTATCTAGGACGGGCTGTCATGAAAGCATCTACATTGCACCCAAGTTTGGGAGTTGACATTGGAGGTAGGCATGCAACTTATGCAGTCCATCGGCAGGCGGGTTTCGCATCCTTCTGCAGGTGGAGCTGCCGGTTCTGCGCTACCGGATGATATGGCAGGCTTTAAGATTCGATACCTTCTTCCGTCGTTTCAGTTTTCTGGCTACACTGGCCAAAAAACGTTAGACAGAAGGCAATGGGGTGACTTTGCGTTTGAACTTTGAACTCAGTTTCAAGAGAGGTATCTGAGTACGCGTACATGACAATTCCGCTCTGGTGGCTCCAGGCTCCACTCTTGTGGCAAAGGACAGAATGTGATCTTGGTCTCTGACGACGTGTGGACATGGTTCTATTGCAACAGAAGAGCTGAGATTCATGAACTACTAAAAACGTTATTACACGACGCAGGAGCTTTTCGTGAACATGGCACTCTAGTCGCACTTGCAGACAAGTGTCCCACCATTCTCAAGGTTCTGACCGGATCACTTGAAACAGGTTCTTCTTTATGCTTCAGCATGTTGCCACCATCAAGATTGGTTTTGAGTGGGAATAATCGAGCAAAACAACAAAATATAGTCCATGTGGCCACATATGTGAATTCACAAATGGCTTACAGATATGGCGCACGAGACTCGTGGGGTAACCGTACAATGCAGCTGGGAAAAAACAAAGTGAAATTGCAAGGGAACGCTGCTATACATGTACTCTCACCTTCAGGGCCGAGGTGGTGCTCTCATCCTCTCGGAAAACACGACTCGCTCCTGCAGGATGATCGGCACCATCCACACCTGTCTCTGCATCAACCACATCTAAACAATGCTGCCATCCGCAAATTGCACTCCCACTCCCATTCCCAGAGGGCCCTGCTATGGGAGTATTGGGGCTTATCCAAGGGCAAAAATGCCTGTGACTGTGAAGAGGGTCAAACTCTGCAGCCCATGGGATAGTACGCCTCATTTCGACTTCCATCGGGCGATCATTGTGCCTGTCGACATCACTGTATGTGCATACAGCACCCACTGCTCCTTGAACTCCATCAGTCGCCTCCCCGTCGTCTGCGGTACTGCGAACCACCTGCGCATTTGCCGTGTCTGACGTCCTTCCCCACTGTGTCTCCTCGTCTCCACCCTGGCCCCTTCCCTCCCCCTGAGAAACTCTGTCATTCTCCCTACTCCCACAGCTTCCTCCGTGAACCGTTGATTTTACTTCCTTGCCCTTTCCTTCACAGACATGGTCACCAGCTGCATCGGCATCTGTAATTCCATTATCACCAATTGCACTTCGCTTCCCGTCGAGAACACTAGCATCGCCATCCCCACCAGCACTTTCATCACCCCTATGGGCCCGTCCTTCATTCACGTTCTGGTCCTCACCATCTGAACCCAAACCATGTGCATCTCCGCCATGGGAACCGCCAACGACACTCCTGCCCTGAAGATGGGCAACTGCTTCAGGATCTATACCTGCCCGAGGACCTTCATTCCTATGGGTGGCCATTACGAGGGAGCCAGCCATCTCTGCTCCGTGAGTGCCACCATGCTCTTGCTCCTCTCCGCTGGTTACTCCCTTTGTGCAAACACTTGCACCTACCCCAACATTCTGATCACCCAAAAGAGCTCGTCTTCGACGATCATCCACACCATCCGACCCCATCGCCTGGGGATCCATGTCTACCCCCGTTGCACCCTCACCACTTCCACCCAATCCCACGCTGCCATGCATGTCTGCCATCCCCACGCTGCCGCCTGCAGCACCACCATCTGTTCCTGTATCCACAACGGCATCAGTAGTTCCCCGCACCTCATATCCTCCTTCATCCATCCTGCTGGCTGCCCCATCGACAATATCCCCATCTCTTTCCCCTTCCGCACGTCCTCCAATGCCCTCACCTGCACCTAGCAACTCACTTCGGCTACCAACATCACCATCAGGACTTTGGACCCTTTCCCAATCCCTTGCTGGCTGGCCTCCCCTCTCTGCATGTTCGCCTTCACCCTCCCTTTCACACTTTCCACTGTCTTGCTCAGCCGCCTCCACGACAACGCCATGGTGCTCACCATCATCCCCAGCTCTTTCCCCTATGCCAGCTGTGTCCCTCAGATCACTGTTCTGACGAGGCATAAACCGAACACTCTCTGTTGAGTTCTCTGGCACCTCGCAGTCCGCCATAGCATTCACTGACGACGATCGTGGAAGGTCCCGTATCTGATGCCGGTGAAGAACAGAGGATGTTCTCAGATTGCCCTCCTCTAGGCGCCCGCCTTCACCTCCTTCATGAAGACTTCTCCTTCGCTTTACTTTGTGGTCGTCAACATCTACATAGTCATCTGAATCAGCCTCTGCTGACAGCCTAGTTCCCTTAGCCTCACCGGCCCCCAGACATGCACTATTCCGGCCCCAACTGCCAGCCCGCACTCCACCAACCCCATCCTCGGCTTCATGACCCCTCTTCCTGCTGCCTTTCTCATCATCCTTGGCACCTTCCTCTCTTCCCACATTGCCGAACGCGCCGCCGTCTACCTCTGCATCATCTGCATCTTCATCGCCCTCATCACCCCCGCATTCGACAACCATCCCTTCAGCACTATTTGTTGGATGGCGGGGCCCTCTGCTGTCAGGCATGTCCAGAGTACTGACCATGCCCCCGAAAATACCATCATCGTTGGGTCCTCTCGACTCGAAAGATGGAACATAGCCTCCCCACTCACTGTAGTCTGCCCGAAAGGAGCTTCCGGCAGTTGCTGATGCTCCAATGCCCCCTCTGCGATTCTGAGCACCAGACCCGAGCGCTCCTCCCCCACCCACCCCACCAGGCTTGATGAGGACAGGCACACTGAACCCGTCCCCTGTTGCTGCACCATCACCACCTGTCACTCCAGTGCTGGTTGTGGGCCCAATCCCTTGCTGAGCAGCGGCACGACTCAGCTGTGCAGCTGACACGGCCGCTGTGGAGAAGTTCTTTCCAGTCCCTGCTGGCCCTAGTTCCTCTCCATCCCCATGTCTATTGCCAACTGTCTCAACTTCCCCCTGTCGATCCCTGTCTCTGCACCACCACTCCCCCACCTCACTTGCCGCACTGACACCGCCCACCGGGACTGTGCTGTTCTGCTCAGCAGGAATTGCCGTAGACACTGCATGGGACACTGCTAGCTGGTAATTATGAACCCGGTTCAGGAACACTGGCCGCCGAACCATGGTCATGTTCCATAAGCCAACCCTTGCACCACAGAGGTTACATTCCAGAACGACAGATGAAGGACCACCTGCCGGGCCAAGATTATGCGTACCTACACCCTCTTCTCTCCCAGCCACCTGGCTGACAGTTTCCCAAAGGGTGCGCAGATTTGACACAGCAACCTTTGATGGGGACCGCACTTTGGGACTGGCTTGACCACCACACTGCCCTGCATCTGCTTGAATTCCATTACTTTGATTCTTTGGACCATTCTTTTCGGCCGATGTGCCTGCCGAAACATCCACCCGCTTCACCAGAGCCCCTGCTTTGTTCAGAGTCACTGACCTCTCCTCGCAATCAACTGTGTAGGGAAGAGCCAGAGGCTCCCAGCCACAGATCGCAATGACGCGCTGAGACTGGACAAACACAGGCGAAAAAGCAGCAATCATGGAAAGTCAGGATCCAGCATAAAATAAGACCACCCCAAGGAGAGTTACCTGTAGCCATCCATGAGTTCTCCACAGGAAATCATCTCTACCGAGCATGGCTACCAGCTCATCATATCTGCATGTCCCAAAAACTACCCATCAAGGAAAGGAATGGCACGTGCTTGTCAAACACAAATGCATCCAACAACCAGCATAGCTGAAACCCGTGGCCGTCAATAGTTGTCAGACATGAAAGAGTGTATGCGGCATACGCAGGGAACACCGTACAGGTCATATGGATCTAACCCAAAAACAAACAAAGAAAACATCCTGTGACTAGGGACACTTGTAACAGCCTAATGGTGTTTATGTCTATGTAGTAGAGGAAGAGGCCTGAATGTTTGCCAGGCCCACCCTTCCCCTTACCCCTTTCTCCCGTCTGCCAACTCTGTGTCAAGCGGACTCATATAGAAAAGAGGTTAAAATGCCAGTGTACAAGAACGTCCCAAAATTTCTGTTTCATACCTCAAAGAAGGAATCAAGTGGAAGAGTGCCTGGACCTGTACAACCATTTACGCTCCCCTGCATACCACCAAGGCTTGCTTCACCCACAGCAACCGACGCTGCCCCGCCAATGTCACCGCCTTGCCGTAGTAGTCCCACATCAGTTTCCATTGAAGCTTGAGGTGGGGGCTGAGCCAATAATCGTGCCAACTGTGGGCCTCTTGTAGCTCTCTTCAGCAACAAACATGTCATTTCACAAACATGTCATTTCACAGACATGCCATCAGTGTCTAATCTCTTGACCCGTACACCCTTTGAAACAAACAATGAGAAAACTCTTGAAACACCTTTCACCACGGCAAATCAGGCAAAACACACACACACACACACACACACACACACACACACACACACACACACCTTTCACACACACAATCATTTTTACGTATGTAGTTTTTTTCTGAGAACTTTCCGATTGTCTAAATGAGCACTGATTGCCTAAGCAAGCACAGTTAAACCATTACTACCCCCGACGTCAAGAATTTGAGGGGACCAGAGGCTACCGGTAGCACAGCGTGGATAACCAGCAGAGTGGCAGAAATGGAAAAAGCGTCAAATTGCCGCTGCAATTTATTTCATGGTTGAAACGATTTTTTTTTTGTTTTAATATTTTTCCTGAAAATATCATGACCAAATCTACAGACCCTCAAATTTTAAGATTTTTTGACGTATTCCTCTGAGAGTGAAAAATCGCTGAAGTTGGGACAGTTTTCCTGTTGGCCCACACATGGTAAGTGGCAAGAATGGACAACAAGACGAAAAGGCGCGGCATTCATTTCGCGTTCTACAGTTTTTTCTAGATTATATTTTTCCTGAAAAGATCACGACCAAATCTACAGATCCTCCAATTTTCAGAGTTTTTGAGGCATTCTTACGAGCGCAAAAAATTGCAGAAGTTGGGGTAATTTTTCAATTGGCCCACCCGTGGCAGAGTGGCAAAAATGGAAAGTACGGTGAATCGGTGCGGCATTTATTTCCGGTCTAATTATTTTTCCCTTCCTTTTTCTAATACTTTTCCTTGAAAGATCACGACCTAATCTACGGATGTCAAACTTTCAGATTTTTTTGCCAATTCTTCTGAGCCCAAAAACTCACCAAAGTTGGTGCTTGAAAACTGCCGGACTGGACCCGCCAGAACCGTTTCGCATACACATTTACACATAGCCAAGTGTAGCGCAGATCCAACGAACCGACCCCAGCAACAGAATAGAACACAGCGGAAGACTGGAACATACACTCTGACGCAGCAAGATTGGAATGGACAATGCTCACTTATTCATTTACCATTCAGTGAGATGGAGGGCAGCACATCATACATAGAAGGGGCGCTGTCCCCAGACCATCCCCAGACGAAGTAGGAGGGAGATGGAGACAAAGGAGAAGAGTGGGGCAAGAAGGCCAAGACATCGATCCCGAAGTTTCCTGAAGTCCCAATCTCAGCACATTGTCCAAAGGCGGGTCTTTGCCCGAATACCAGGGCAATGGCCCGAATGTCACCAAGCTCAGATCCCAGATAACTCTCTCTCTCTCTCTCTCTCTCTCTCTCTCTCTCTCTCTCTCTCTCTCTCTCTGTGTGTGTGTGCAGATACCAGATACTGACCACGCAGAGGTGTTCCCTTGACGCAGGTGCTGGAGCGCTGAAGACAAAGCTGCAGCTATGGCACCCCTAGGTAAGTCATCAGGTAAGTCCCAGTGTCTGGCCTCCCCTCTCTCCCGCTGCAGTCTCCACTGCAGCCTCCATGCTCACCACCTCTGACCTGCCGCTACTGCGACCAGCGCTGAAGACTAACGCAGCATAACGCTGAATAGTAGCTCACACGAACCTACCAAGTAAGAGGCAGACCAGTCTATAAATACTACTGGTCTGGCCTCTCCTAGGTCCTACTGGCCTAAACGTGAGGCCCAGAATGAATGGCCTGGAAATCAATCAGGCCGAACACTTGGATCGAATCCGACGGTCCAAGTGTGATCTGGAAAAGAAAGGAGGCCAGGGCCTGAACCATTACTGGTACCAGGGCCTGGCCAGGCCGGACTTGGTGTGGGCCTAAAACGGCCCTTTTTCTGGCCTGAACCGACACAGGCCCTACTTCTGGCGCCCAAAAACTAATGCGCCAGAACGAAGATAAGTCCCTACCCCTTCCTACCTACCTGACGGGTCCTGCTGGTCCCGGGTGGGATCTACGTCTGCCACAGCCTACCAGTCACCAGTCGCCAACCCGCCGTAAAACCCGCTCCATATGGCCAGGAAAGCCGAATTTTCGACGTCGGGTTACCGGGGGTAGTGCCAAATAGTTGGTGCTTCTTTGTTTGAAGTGCCTGCAGCACCATTAGGTGGGCAGCTCTGTTCATGATGTCTGTGGTGCATCAAATGGTCTAGAGGGCCTGCCCATTTGCTGTCGAAATTCATCCTTCTCGTAAAGATCGGACTCTTTCCTCCTCTCACGGTTCAGCCGGGTCAACCAGAACCCGCTGCATCGACAGAAGGACATTCCCAGATCAAATTGAGGAGAAAATGATAAAAATCCACAAAGATATTTGGCAATGACTACCAATCATCAATGAGACACGGGGATACCAATCACAAGGTCAATGGGTTGCACCGAGTTTCTTGAAAGTTTGCCAGCGGCACAGGGAGATACTTAATTGGTGTAATTAATTAACCTATATGGGGGTACACTATCCAAATTCTATGATCTAAAATTAGAGGGGAAGCAGAGCTACAGTGTGCAAACAGGCACTAGGTTTGGAAATGGATACGCTCTAGCTCAGTTGGTACAGCCATGTACTGTTAAAATACAGACCCAAGTTCGAATCCAGCTACTGTCAGATGAACAGAATACCCACAGTGAAGAAACACAGTGATTACTCCACTTGTGGGGGTAGAATAGAGGGGGATGCAAGACAATCGGGACGACTTTGGAAGGATTCAGCATAGGGAGAATGCCTGATCCCACCCACCCAATGGGGGAAGTTTTGCACAATTTTGGAAATCCTGATGGTATACAGAACTCTCGGCAGGATTACGTTCAATCGTTGATCAAATCCGCCACGAATCAAAACCGCGTGACGACAAATCGGGCACCACGGGAAACACCGGCTCTAAGTCATAATGGTATGAATGCTTTCATAATTGAAGTGGCTGGGACAAGAAACCAGGTAAGCGAGCATCAGCAAGAAGTGGAATTCTCATTCAACATCCCCTCATGTCATGATCCAAGTCCTGATGTCTGTACTGGCCTCCTATGTGTCCGATTTTCGATTCAACGCGGGTTCCGCGTTGAATTATTCAATGCGCATTGAATTTGCATTGAATCCCGTTTAAACGCGCGTTAGACGCGAATAAACGGGGTCCGCAGTGATTTTTTTCCTGGTCTAAACATAATCCCAAAAAATATATATATGGGGTTGTAGGCCTTTTCGAGGACTACAACCCTATATTTTTATTTTTAATTTTTGATGTTTGACACAGTATATTTTTCTAGGTTGGGCCGCCGCCCGGCCGGTTGGGCCCGGGGGGGTCCGCCCGGCGAAACGGGGCAACGCAAAAACCCAGCAAGGATTTTTTTTTTTTTTTTTTGGAAGGTAGGGTTGTGCTGCGCTACCCTAGAGGACCCCGAATCTGCAATAAAAAATGAA